TCATAGGAAGATTAATTACAATGTCTGTGATCTAGCCCTCTCACCTCTGGTGGCATAGTGGAAATGCATTGGGCTGCAGTCTTAAAGTTTGGCAGTATGAATCCAAATGTCACTCTGCATGACAAAGGTGGAGCTTTCTACTCCTGAAAAGAGTTATAGTCTCAGAAACTCACAGAGCAGTTCTACCCTGGTTTATAGGCTCACTACGCGATGGCATCAACTCAATGACAGTGAATTTATATAGTGTCTTTATGGCCTTCCTAGTGCACATTACCAATCAAGACTTTCTTTATACATGCCATATCTTTTCATATGTCAACACCATGCCTTCCCAATTCAGAAACACAGAAGACAACTAATGATGGAGAGGATGTGGAGAGATTGGAACTCATATACAGAGTTGGTGGACTTAAACATACATAAAGCTACTTGTTAAATTATATGGCAATATTTAAAGCAACAAGGAATTTAAATCCTCTGCGATCAATCAATACCACTGTTAGGCATATACCCCAAATAAATAAGAGACACAACATGCGTTGATGCACATTCTCCCATGTAACTAGCAGTATAGTTCACTATAGCAAGAAACTAGAAGCACACCATATACCACCATATAAGAATAAAGACACAATTTTACAACCACACAAGAGAATACTACACATCCCTAAAAATCACTGATGAAAGTATGAAATACCCCGTGACATGGAAGGACCAGGGAACTATTATTGTTAGTCAATAGAGTCAATCACCAAAGGGCAAATATTGTATGAGTCCACTACTAAAGGAAAAACACTAGATGCTCTTTACTTAGGAACCAATTCCCAAAGTGGTGGAATGCCTGACTACTGGCTATGAACCACACATTACCCCCTTATGTGTATTTCATCAAAACATCAAGGAAGGAGACCTATCATTGGCTTAGATCACTCCCTCAACAAGGGGGAAAGGGCAGAAGACCTTTTGTGGTACACTTGATTCTGTACCACATTGATACAAGCTGTGAAAGATCAATAGCCCCTCCATAGGAATGAGAGGAGAATCTTACTGGGAAGTAAGGTTGAGACCTGAAGACAGGAGCATCTACATTTCAGAGGAGGCACTGGTGCTTCTGTTGGTGGTTATGGTAAGTAAATGGGAGGAGCGACTTCACATTGGGAAGAGATGCTGAACAATAATCAGAGGAAACCTAAGGGCAGAGGACATCCAGTTCTATGGGCTTAGGTAGACACTTATAACATGATTCTACCCAAACCTCGGTGAACCATGCCATGGACTGAGCACTATGATGACCTTAGATGCTGGCTTTACAGGGAACATGGTATCCCCCAAGTGCCAAACCAGAAGGACTCAGCGTGGAAGCTTGACTGAAGGAACTGGTTTCTACCTGAAAACTACTAATACCCTTGGACTTAGGACTGAAATACTGATGGGAGAGGATGCAATAATGGCCACCCAACTGTCAAGTTAGCTGGCGTTTTACCTTGGGTGGGCCCCCAGGCTTAGTGAGTGTCCAAAAAAAAAGGAGACCCAGAACCACCATCTATGGGAAACAGAAGGATTTCTCCCAAATTGTCTCCCCCAAATATATGCCAACTTAGCTGCTTGAGAATGACTATACACTTGGAGGTCATCAGGAGTAGCCATCTAGAGCAATCAGACACCACTGTTTATCCCACAACAAGTAGGGCCCACTCCCTTCTGATAAGGATAGTAGTTGTTTGTTTCCTTGTAGGAGACACCAGAGAGGTCAAACCTGCCCAAGGATGACCAAGGTTAGGCTGCCATCATGAATCCAGGGTCTGCCCATCTTGTCACATGTATAATTCTAGATCTTCCCATTCCTGTAGGCACACCCCTAGCTCATCCCCTTCCTGTCACACTTATGCCTATCATACATCCCCTTCCAATGATGTGTTTGCCTATTGTACTGCCCCCTCCTGTGACGTGTGGTTACCTATAATCACGTCCCCCTAATGAGATATAACCCTTAGTTAGCAATAAAGTGGGGTTCTCCTGCTCTTGCTCCCGAGGCTCTCTCCTGCTCTGGTGGCTGGGCTCCCCCCACAAGGACTACCAAGCGGGGCTTCGGTAAGCATGCTACCATGAAATGTGTCTGACTCCATTATTTGACTCTCTCCTCTACCTCTCATGATCTCTATGACTTTACTATAATCTTTACTTATTATTGCTGTACAATTGCGCCTACCAGACCTGTGATGATCTGTGGGGGACCCCTCTTTGCCCCACAACCATCTATTTGGTGCCTCAATGCTCCCTTTGCATTCATAGGACAGTTGTTGGTCTGACAGGACAGGGTCTGCCTCTGTAAGAGAGATGCAGGAAATTTTCCTCTGGCACCAGTTCCCATGCTCGATGTAAACAGAGCTCGATCAATTAAGAAATCAACCTGTACAAAGGAACAACTCATGGTTTGCAACTCACAGTTGGCCTGTACTTGCTTCGACTCCTCATATCAACAGTCCCTTAAAGTTCATGTGTTTGGGTAAATTATTGATGCTATTGATTCAATCGTCTCATACACTAAGGAGATGATCAATATTGTTTTTCTTTTTTCTTCCTATTGTTCTTTTTCAAATTTTTAATGTTTTGTGTTTTTGTTTTCCTTGATTTTGCTGGTTCTGATTTTGTTGCTTTTGTCATAATATGATGGCCAACTAAACCAGAGCCGATCATAACCGGAGGACAAGTAGATGGATTCTAGGCTCCCATGTAATTCTAACCCTTACTTGAGAGAAGTTCATTCTTATGCCGTGGCCCTGTTCCATACTCACTTTCATGAAGAGATCACTGAAGACAAGTGTGCTACATAAAGTGTCATGAAGAAAGGGGATCATGCCTAGCTATCAACTGGAATCGTGTCTGGAGACTTAAAGGCGTGTATTCAAACAAGCAGCCATCAAAGTGAGACATCGCCTAAGTCTACAAGGAAGAAGCACGCCGGCCTCTGTGATCCAAAGTTGAAAATAGCAAGATGCAAACATGATGAAGAAAAAAATTATCAGAGCTTAAATGGTGAACACCAAACTCATAGAAAGCTATAGAGGACAGTGAGCACCCAAAACCCATGTGTAGTGTGCAGTGGGATTAGGCCTCTAGTCGATCTCCTCTAGTCAAAATTCTGGAGACTTTAATAACTTTACTCTCAGATAAAGATGATTGTAAACTTGATTATGCTGAACTGAAGTGCAAAATAATATGACATGTGGTCAGTTGACCTCTCTCTTGAGGCAACCTGCATTTGTTCTACGGTCAAATTTTTATCCATTGATCCAAGACAGAAATATATTCTCTGGCTTTTAAAATATTGTTGGTGGTTTTGGCTTACTCTTTATATATTCAGTTTTTCTTTTTGCTTCATTTTGCTGTTCATTGTTTCTGCTGCATCTCCCAGTTTAGGAAGCGTGGAAGGAATTGACGCAGAGACAATAACCGATGCAATGGTTTATAGGGAAGTGGGGGCAGGGAGAGGGAGAGGGGAATTGGGCAGTGATCAGTGGATGGGGGATGGAGTAGGCATTAGAGCCAATGTGATGATGTATATGCTACTCCTTTTCAGAAACGGATTAATTATGGAAGTGTAGGGTATATGGATATGACATGAAGAAAACTACTAAAAACAAGGAAAAGAGAAGCCAGAGTTGATCTATGGTTATCACGAGGGAAGGAGGAAGAGTTTTCACTAAGGAGGCATGGAGTTCACTTCAATGGTGGTTGAAAATTTGGAGAGGGATAATAGTAATGTTTGTACAATGGGAAGCACATATCAATGGCACTGAATTAGAGATGTAGAAGTTGTTGAACTGGGGGATGCTTTGTTGTGTATATTTTTGCCAAAATAAAATAAAAAATTTCAAAACTAAGAGTACAGAGAAAAGGAAATTGTTCTAAAATTGTGTTAGAGATTGTAGAACTATTCTTGTACAATCAGTTGAACAATTGAATGGTGTGATATGTGTATTACATGTCAACAAAACTTTAAAAAAAAAGACCACTGGCTTGGCTGTTCATTTGCATAGACTGCTCAGGCTATATTATCTTCCTTATCTTTCTTCTTACTGTTTGAGAATCAAATCCAAGTCGGTCCCAGAGAGCAGCCTTCCATGAATTCCACCTTCCTAGGCATTTGCTCTCATAGTTCCCCATCGGATGTTCTTCAGAGAATTCAATGCTTGAGCTCAGCGCCAACCCACATGGAATGTAAGCTACTGAGCAGGGATGATCATGCATGCCTCACATGCACGCTGCAGGAATTTCACATAACAAAGAGCATCGCAGTTTATCTTTAAAACGGACAGTGAAACAGCGTAGAACAAATACATCAAACAATGGCCAGGGGAAACAGGGACAGGATAAGGACAACGATGACCAGAACCCGGTCCTTTTGAGGTTTCATTGTATGTTCTTCGGAGGATTCCATGCTCCAGTGCAGCATCAGCCCCTGTAGGGGGTACGCGGTGGGGCAGTGGTAATGCTGCACGACTCCAACAGACGCTGCGTAGACGTCACACAACAAACAACATCACTCTTTATTTTAAAGCTACAGAGAGTTGGGTGGCATAACAGAGAGCGAATCACAAGGATGAAGAAGGTGGTCAGAAGCTTGGCTACTGTGGAGTTGTCCTTGCAAGGGCTGTGCGTCCCTTAAAAATGCATCCATCACAGGTTTGTGGGGGCGGGGGCAAGGGCGGAGTCAGGCATCCTCAGAGCCAGGACGCCTGAGTGTCACCCCCAGGCCACCTTGCCTCTGCTCAACGGGCCCAAAGTCCAAAGCCTGGCCGGGGAAAAAACAAAAACCCGGGAAGCCCGGGGGGAACCCAAGGGGTGGCAAGGAAGGAACCGGAAGGGAAGAAAGAAAAGCCAAAAAAAACAAGAACCAACCGGAAAAAACGAACAAAAAAAAGCCCTAACAAACCAATCAACCTAAAACCGCCCCCAAACAAAAGTGGTGGGAAAAAAACAACCCAAGGGGGGGAAAGGAGGAAACTCCTAGACACGTGTGTCTGTCCTCAAAGGCACAGGGTCCATGGACGTCAAGAGGCCTGAGCACCTGCTGTAAACCACTAGGTGGCTTCATAGGCACAGCGTGGGCACGAGGTCCAGAGAGACCATGAGGGAAATAAAGAAACAAAATGCATTACCTGAGAGGTTGTCACTCACTCTCCAGCTCCTCCCACCCCACCCCACCCACACTCACTTCTGAGACCAGAACCCGGAGAGAGGGCCTACTGCACTTTCTGCTGCTCCTGGGACGTGGTGGGCTCAAAGCTGGAGGAGGGTGTGGGCACTGGGGAGAAGCAGGAACTCTGGGGTTCTTTGGGACTCACATGAGTCACAGTCAGTTGGTCATTAATGATGTATATGCTGCAAAAAGGAGGCGCCTCAGACAGCTGGACACATGAGCAACCCCACAGCCCCAACAACCAACACGCCCACACTGGACAGCCACCTTCCGGCCATGCACCCCTCTGCCTGCCTCCGTGACTCTCTGGCTGCTGCCCTTTTCCTTCACATAGATCCTACTTTGGGAGAGCTGTCTGCCACCGTCACTGGGTGGATAGGTTTCCCCACCCCAGAGAGAGTTCCATGCCTGCCTTTACCTTTACATCAGCCCAACTGGTTGGTCATTCTAATCCTCATATACTGATACAGACACCGAGGCACAGAGAAGTCATGTAACTTGACCAACATCACACAGCTAGTGAAGGCAGGAGTCAGGGGGTGAAACCAGTATATCACAGTCTTCACTCTTAACCACTATGCCTGTGTGCTCCTGGGATCTAACTTTTTGAATTCCGCAACCCGGGGGAAATCCTGAGGAACCCCGTGTCACCATCCCATCTTCTGGCCATTGCGTGGGAAGGGTGTTCCCTCTGGGAGCCAAAACCCAGCACTGACCTGGCATCACTGCCAGTCCTCAACAGGAAGGTCCGCGTGAAGGCACAGAGAGGAGGGCCACACAGACCCTCGGCTTCAAGGACAAAGCACAACACAGCCAGTTAGTGTCCCCATGCTTCACACACTCAGCAATGGTGTTTGTATCTCATGGCACCCTGAGGATGCCACAAAGGGACAGTTCTCCCTGGGGGTTCAGGATGGTGTCTGCATTTGGGTGGGAGGGGGTGGGAGGCACAACAAGATGTCCGATCTCTTCCAGTTGATAAGTTCTCTACTCTGCATCATGCCCTGTGATAATCTCTTCACAAGTGCATTTGCCATATTTTTCACAGTAGCCCAAGAGAGGGATATTACTAGCCTCATTTTGCAAAAGAGTTGACCAGGAGGTTAAACAGGAGCCCCAGGGGGCCATTGTGAGGGTACATGATGAGAGCCAACACACTCTATGTCCTGTGCCTCTACCACCTGGGCTGTGTTAAGTCAGGAAAGCCGTCATGGCTGTGGGTCAGTCAAAAGTGAACTGGGCTAGGGGCAGGCTGGAGCTGGACAGTATAAAGGGAACGTTAAGGGAGTAGGGAAGCCTGTAGACCTCTGTGTGGGAACAGTGGGAAGCAAGGGGGAGAAACTTGGCAGACACTCACTCTCCTTGAACTTCCCACGGACAGAAAAACAGAGCGTGGTTCTCTGAAAGAGAAAAACAGCTCAGGCTCCCAGGAACCCATTCCCTGTCCTACCCACCTGTGTCCTCTGTCCCTGGACCAGGCCAGAAGCCACTGCTCACCATCTGGGCACCCACGTCCACCACGAAGGAGCTGAGGTCATGCTGGGTCTTGGGCAACACACGAAGGAAGTCAACAATCTCACTTTTTGTGCGTTTCACCAACAGAACACACAGGCCTGTGGGCAAAGTCAAGAGATGGTCAAGGGCTGCCTCACTGGCTGGGTCCCTGTGTTTTACCCTTTCACTCCTCCCGCCCCATCCTATCTTCACTCTGAGACACATACCGATGTCCTTGAACTCTTTCACAGCCCCGCTGTCCTTGGAGGACTTGCTGCAGCTGATTCTAGGCAGAAAGCAGGAATAGGAGGTGGGGACTGGTCAGAATGTGCTGGGCAGTCAGAAGTCCAGGGCTGTCGTCTGGTCTGAGATACTCACCGGGATGGATCCTCAGTGTGGAAGAGAGTAGTCAGTGAGAAGCAGGCATTGTCATGGTAAGCACTCAGGAGGCCCTGTCGGTCCCCACCATCATAGATTCTGTAATACCTGAGCAGAAACAAAGACTCCTTAGAGATGTAACAGACACCCCGGCCCTCACCAATGTGTAAGCCACCTCAGGCCCAAGGAGTTCTTACTGTGTCAGGAATTTCCAGACTAGATCCTTCAGGGTCTCTGATCCAAAGACACTCCCCTGGAATGAACATGGACTTCAGCACCCTAGCTTCCATGCCCTCCTCACCCACCCCTTCAAGCCCTGCTTGGTCCTGCCGCCTCACCTTGCAGAATGGTAACTTCTTGTCATTCCCAATGTCAGAGAAAAGAGGTGGGGGCAGCACTGGATCATCCTGTGGAGGGAAGAAGATGTCAGCAGTGTTGACTGCGCTGGGCTTGGGGCAGTTGATGGACAGGGAAAAGGATCAGCACAGGAAAGATGGGCATCATTCTCATGGGGTCTTCACCAGAGAGACCATGTGCTGATGGGGAAGGGAAAACAAATTCCTTGTGCTCTATCAGCTTCCCCAAGGGGGCTTCTTGCTCAGGGAAATTAGGGGCAAAATCCAAACAGCTTATCTGGCAGGGTCTATGAGATTCTGGGCAGGATGTGGGTGGCATTATGTAGCAGGCAGAAGAGTCGAGGAAAAAGTAATGCTCTCACCGGGCTTAATAACTTGGGGAACAGGTCCAGGAGGTCACTGTGGAATGTCAAGGCAAAAAAGAAAATCAGAGCTTGCCTCCTTGTTTGAAACAAGCCAACCTGCACAGGAACAGAGATATGTGTGTCTCACCGAACTTTCAATGTCTCCCGTCATGGACACTGGGGCCTACCCCATGGACTCACCCAGACAGAGAACTGGGGGCTGCCTCTCTCCATGCCCCTCTCCTCCTCTCCTTCCTCTGTGCTGCTCCCATGGGGACAGTCCTGGCCCCTCCTCTAGTGACACAGAAGCATCATGAGAGGCTAGGCTGCAGGCATTCCTCCCTACCTCATATCCCTCCCTGCAGGTTCTCAAAGAAGTCTATGAAGAATGAGGGCACGAGAGAAGGTCCAGGGTTATTCTACTACACCAGATGTCCAATGCTCTGCCAGGGCTGACTGTGGACAAGCCCAGGACATGCCCTAGGGTTGCCGCAGAATGTTGCTCAGGCTGATGAGCGAGGCAGCATAAGGAGGCAGGGAGCACAGAAAGCCACTGAAGGAATGGTGTGGTGAGAAGGGGAGACACAGTCCATTGGAGATGAAAAACTCGTTAAAGGAAGACAAGTGAGGTGAAGTTAGTTGTGAAGGGTGGGCACTGGGGAGAAAGAAGCAAGGATGGGGAAATGATCCCCTCTGCTGCCACTCTGTTCATCCTTCATCTGCCCATGGAATAGAAAGCAGGTCCTTGGTCCCCTGTGTGTCCCCCTCTGAGGTGGGCATGGGAAGAGCAGCAGCCATGGGGCAGCAGAGGTTCCCCAGGAGGAAAGGCTCAGGTGACTGCAGAGCAGGGGTTGGAGGGTCTGTGGCCTCTCTTGAGAGCACCACTGCTATCTCTTCTGGTGGCCTCTGTCCAACTGGGCCTCCCTTAGTTGGTCCCATGTCTGAGGAACCAGGCTGCCTTCGACGACCCAGGGCTCTTCTGAAGTTCCATGCAGGATGGCTCCCCATGCTGTTGGGAGGGCTCAATGCCTCCTGTCTCCACACCTGGTTATGCCTCCAGCCTCACACACTCCCCACCTGCTTCAGCATGCCCTCTGCTCACTGCAGGTGACCCACTTCTCACACAGCGAGTCCAGCTTTCTCCCCCCAGCAAGGCCCAATTCCTGTCTTTGAGCTAGGGGAACACATGTCATCATACAGCCAACCATGGGCCCAGTCCTCAGCATGGGGCAGAAAATCCCCAGGACAACTGGAGAGAGGGCAGGGGAGCCCCTGGAAGCAAGGGAGAGAGCAGCAGTTTCATTCAACATGGGGAAAGAAGGCCCTATCAGGGAAGAGTGCCAGAAAGACCTCTCTAAGTAGGACTCCCTGGCCATGAGGTGACGTCACTGCCCAGGGCAACATGGTCTGATTCAAGGTAACATCCCAGGGGAAGCTGGGCACTGCGTGCACACCCCCTGTCCTGGAGAGGACCAGGAACTCTGATTTGGGGAGCATTTTCAGGAGACGCCATGCCAGAGATGCTTGGTTGGTGACGTGTGGACAAATGGCGGAGAGCAGGGAGCAGGCCGAGGAAAGGCAGGGAGACCTCTAAGCACACAGCAGAGAGGGGAAAGAACAAGATATGTGGTTCTTCCACGTGACTTGGGCAGCCTCATCCTGCACGGTCAAAGGTAGCTGCACGTCCCCAGGGTTTCACCAGGCATAACTGACCTTACGTCGCTGGGCTTATGCGGAGAGCTGGTGCACAGAGGCTTTCTGCCCGCACTCATCTCCCCTGGCTCCAGTCCCTTCACTGTGTCCATCTCCCCTTCAGCCTTCATCTGCAAGGAAAGAAGAAAACATGAACCAGGGACTGTGAACCAGGAGGGCCCTTCCTATTACACCCCCAATGACACCATCTCCCATAAAAAGCCTTACCACCTGTCTTTTGTCGCCACCCTAATGAGCCCTGCCTCCTCCCTTTCCCAGGGTGCTCTGGCGACTGCTTCTCACCTGATTTTCGAAGAGGTTCCTGCTCTGCATGGTGGGATCCTTCTGCCCCATGTTGGCCAGGCCAACCAGCTGGTAGTGTCTAGAGTTGCTCGAGGTGAAGGACAAAAGCTGTGGTGAGAGAAGAGGCTCCAAGAGGTGACATCTGCAACACATCTGCCCTCGACCCTAGATACCCCAATCCCCCACCACCACACACAGCACGAGTAAAACAAAAGGCCTCACTTTGGGCATGTTCTCCTCAAGGAACTGAAGGGAAGAAGCCGTGTCCTTTCTACCATTCAGTCCCATTTCAGCAGCATGGTGCATCACTCCTTCTAGAATAGGAGACAAGGGGTCAGGTGGATGAAAGGGCGCAGCTGAACTGGCCCCAGCACCAACCCTTCCCTAAATTCCCTCTAACCACCCCTCCCACAAAGACCACTCTGCACCCAGATACCCCAGAATGGCTGCTATCTTGAATACCTGAATCTGAGTGGACCTCCTGAGGAAGGTCAAGAGCTCCCTGGCAGCCCTCAACTCCTTTTATCTTGGTCACCTGCAGAGACAGAGATATGGATTAGTGGCCTGTGCCTCAGGTTCTGGGAGGGTAATTGTCAATGGAAGGAGTGGTGGTGGGTCTGCGCGTGGCCATACACCTCTGCAGTCGGTATTCCTTTGTTCAGTTTCCCATTTTTTGACACCAGCTCCTTCTGCATAGACTGGG